TAAGGAAAATGACAATATGTAATGAAAATGTAGATGATCTAGATATATATCTGGTGTTGTTGATGCTATTTGTGAATGAAACAAAATTATCTGAGTATGAATCCAATACGATATGATGATATTTATAAATGAAAATAATATGTAAGGTACCTAGATATAAATATATTGGAATAAGTAATGAAAAAGATGTGGTTCTTGATTATTTCTTTTGTTATACTTGCGATAATGATGATGAGTAAGGTTGTCTTGTAAATTGGATTTCTATGAATATCAAATATGCATTGGTTTTATCAAGCCTGTATAAATGTGTGTTTGCATATCTCTACTTTGAACACTATTTTATTCTTACTGAGTTCGTGAAACTCATCCCAATTCACACCCTCCCCCAGTGCAGATTAGTTCAGGTCAGGAGGAAGTTCAAGATCAAAGGAAGACTTTGAAGAATTCTTTAGTTACTTTGGATATTTATTGTAAAGTAGATATGAATATATTATTATAATGAAATTTTAGAAAATTGTTGTGAGTCTCATGAATTATGATTCCATACAAGGTATATATTGTTGATTTATAGAGATCAACATAATGTTACGCAAAAATTTATCAGGTTCACATGTGAGGTGACACTCATTTCTCTTCAAAAAAATCGGATTGTTATACATTTAGTCATTTTTTTTATTAGTAATTTTTGTTGTATATATATTATTTAATTAATAACATATGAATTTTTATTTAAAATATTACTACTCTATATATATATATATATATATTTGATTTTATGCATATAAATGGTTTCATATTCGAAATAAATTTTGAGAAGGATTTTTTTTTCTCAAATAAGACTAATTGTATTATACAAAAATATCAAAAAATTTAAACTATGTAAAGACTATCATGCTTTATAAACTATTATACATTTTATTCTCTCACTATCCATTCTGTTAAAAATTTTATTTTATTTTTAATTTGATTTCATAAATTTGAGTGATAGGAAATAAAGTGTAAAATAATTCACAAAACAACATATATATTTTCTTTAAGTTAAAAAAAATATTAATGATTTATGTATGACAAGATAAATTTTAGGAGGAAAGTATGATTTAACTATTTCGTAGAATAATATTTTTTCCTTTTATCTTTTTTTTTTGAAAAAGAAATATAATTATTGCACTGACATTATACCATTGTAAGATACATATCATCAAATGATAGTTCAACCCTAAAAAATGATACTCAGATTATGAATTGAAGTTTTTATATTTTGAATAGAGAATTTCAAGTAAAAATATTATTGACATATAGAATTTTATATATATTTCAAATTAAATAATTATTTTTTATCGTTTTAATACATCATGCCATTCAATTTAATTTTTGCAATTCATTATCAATTCACCTATATATTTTAGTAAATCATAATTCACCCATAAATTTCAAATTTTTTTTTATTCTGAGTTAAATTGAATTATATTAATACGAGTTAAATTATAATTTCAACTGCGTTTTGTATGATTCTAACAAGAATTGTAAGATATGGTCACGAAAAGAAATATCTATTATATATGTATATATCTATAAATATATATATTTGGCGAAAGCTCCAAGCGGAGGAAGAGACTGACCAATCCATAAACATACTGTGAATACAAACAAAATGGTGGAAGAAGAAGAGCCTGACCAATATGTGGAAGAAAAGACCCGACCCATTACAAGTGCTATGATCACTTCTTTTTTCCTTTTCTGATTAGTTCCTGTAACAAGAGTTGAATTCCCAACTATTCGCTCCACAACACAAGACTGAGCTACAAAGGCTTGGGAAGTGCCTCGATCACTTTTACGTAGTAACAGCTGCTCTTCTTTTGGGGAAAGATAAACTTCATAATCATTCCAAAACTTAAGCTCATTTCTCAATGGTTGCCAGAAATCTTCCCATCACGCTTCTCTTTCTGTTCTCATCGTTATTCGCTATGGTAACTGTTTTTCAAGCTTGTGTTTTTCTTTTTCACTCGTAAATTTTCAATCTTTTAGATTAATCCTCTTGTTGCTCGACCAGAAACCATAAAATTTTGATCCTTGTGAAAAGGTCAATTACCCTCAATTGTATAATGGGTTTCAGCTGTCTTATCTACAAGGGCGAAATTTCATTCCTTTTTCTGAATTTTCATAGCTAGCAAATAGCTTAGGAATATTTTTTTTTTCGGTTATTTTATCACATGGCTTTACATCAATACTGCGAGAGATGATCTATTGTCGTGTGTACTTATTGGCTATTAGGCGGTGGGACTGGAAATGAAGAATTCAACCAACTATCCTATTGTGGTGAGCACTTGGCCTTTCTTGGAAGCCGTTAGGGCAGCTTGGAGGGCTGTGGATTCTGGGTTGTCTGCAGTAGATGCTGTTGTGGAGGGTTGTTCTGCTTGTGAGGATTTAAGATGTGATGGTACTGGTGAGAGTCTAATACCTAAATAACTCCTACTTCTATATATATAGATGTATATGTTTCTTGTTGTCCTGTATTTTTTCGTTTCATTTTGAGATAGGTTATTGCTTTTCTTAGAAATGTAATCGCTTTGTTCTTATTAGGACATTAGAGCTGTGAGTGCTGTGTTAGGCTTACCAATTTCTGTAACAAATAACAACTTGGGTGCTTGTTTGTTTTCACCTTGCAGATTCTAATGGTATAATTTCCGTCAGGAAGAAAAATAGAAATAGAAAGAGAAAACTACGAGGTTCAGCTTTTTGAACTTATTGTTGAGTAGTTCTGAGCATATTGTTCGCATTAGATGCTTACACTTGAGGAGATTCATCTTCAAGGATGATAGTTCTGTTGTTTTCTATTATAGAAGTTATGACTTTTGGAAGTGTTAAACAATTAGTTGGAATTATGTACAATTTCTAAAAGCATTTATTCTCAAAGATAATCGGAACATGCATGTTGATTTTTATTTCTTGATTCTGTAACATTGAGCCGTAGGTGCCGATATTGATGTACTTCATTTTATTATGAACAGTGGGGCCTGGTGGAAGTCCGGATGAGAATGGAGAAACAACAATTGATGCCCTTGTTATGGATGGGGTAATCAGCATCTAATTGCTCTTTCATCTACTTCATTTCTTTACCAGTGCATGTTCCACTAATTGAAATGATAATCTATCATGTGTTTGGCTAAGGGTATGCATAGATGACAATGGAGGTTGGAGCTGTTGCTGCCATGAGGTATGTCAAAGATGGGATTAGAGCAGCAAGACTTTTAATGCAGCACACGAAACATACTTTGCTTGTCGGGGAGAAGGCTTCAGCTTTTGCCATCTCAATGGGTCTTCCAGGACCCATAGACCTTAGCTCACCAGAATCTAAAGAGAAATGGACAAAATGGAGAGAGGATAGCTGCCAACCAAACTTTTGGAAAAATGTTGTTCCTGCTGATAGTTGTGGCCCCTACCAACCAACAGATAATACAGGCCTTACTAATGGGGCATGCTCCAAAGCCAGTATCTTTGGATCAATTGAGTACAGATCATCTCTTTTTGGCCTTCGGAGTCATGATACCATATCAATGGCTGTTATTGATAAAGTGAGTTGACATATTTATGAAGTTCATTTTTCAGTAAGTTCCTTTTGTTAAACAAATTTCGTTTCCAGTATAGGTGGGTCATATTGCTGTTGGAACATCAACTAATGGAGCCACTTTTAAGATACCTGGAAGGTAAGACTAGCATAAGCCCAGCCCTGACAAATGGCAGAGATAATTTTACACTTGGAAGATGACAAATGGTTTCTTTTCCCTTCTGTGTTGCTCCTCCTGTCATGATGTGCTCTGAGAAATTAAAAAAACTCATCCCCAATTATCTTTTTTCTTTGTCTTGTTGCTTGTTGCTGTGTTACCCTCTCTGGAAGTCTGGTTGTGTGAAAATAGATCCTATTTCTTCTATTCTCTATTAGAGTATCATGAAATGATAATCGTTGGATTAGAAGCAAAGGACGACTCTTTCTTCACATGATTGCAGGAGGAAAAGGCTACGTATTAGGGGTCCCCCCAAATCTATTGGCTGTAATATGCTGCCATCTTATCTTCTGCCCTTGGTGTTTTTAATTTCCATTATCTTTCAAATCAAATAAATTTGTTGACTTGAATCTGGGATATACCATGTTTGTTCTTTCTTTGTACAGATTGATTTTCGTTGAGTTATTTCAGGATAAGCTGTACATAATATGCTTTGTTTTGACTGTAGGGTGGGTGATGGACCAATTGCTGGATCTTCAGCATATGCTGATGATGAAGTAGGTGCTTGTGGAGCAACGGGTGATGGAGACATCATGATGCGCTTTCTTCCATGGTAGTATAGTAGCACCCAAAGTTTCTACTTTCCCTTCTGGAATTATTTTCGGGTTTAGGACTGAAAATCTATGCATTTCTTCAAAATCTGCTGAAAGAACAGGACGCACTTAAAACTTTCGTATTGGTTTAACATGTACTTAAAACTTATCATGTTGGCAACCTTGATGGCATCAAAATATGTCTTGGGCTTTGTGTTGGTTTGTGAAGCAAGCTGCACCAAATTTTGCTGAAGTTGGACTTTGCTTTGATAAGCGAATTATATATGTTTAAGGAATACAAAATTGTCATCGGAGAGTATTCAGGAAGTTTAAATCTAATATTACAAGTAATCCAGTAAACAATAATATGAAGCCCAACTACCCTTTTTCGAGCTTGTGCCAGTGGAGTCAGCTGGGTTTTGATGATTAAGTTTTTGTGACCAAAAGGGCAAACCTGATTTATCATTTCTGTTTTGCTGCATGGTTGCTCCCCCTAAATGAACAAATATCTAAATGGTTTATGTTCGAAATTTGCATACATGTATATAACATATATGTTCTGCATTGCTGAGTTCATGTTATCCTGCTTGTCTAGATTTCCATATTTCAGCTACTTCAATAGCACCTCCTTGAAAAAATTGTGTTTGATCTGATTTTAAGTTGGCCTTTTTCCGCCTTCAGTTATCAAGTTGTGGAGAGTATGAGATTGGGAATGGAACCTAAGCTTGCTGCCAAGGATGCAATATCACGAATCGCGAGAAAATTTCCAGATTTTGTGGGGGCTGTTATTGCTATCGATAAGAAGGGCGCGCATGCTGGTGCTTGCCATGGATGGACATTTCAGTACTCTGTAAGAAGCTCAGACATGGATGATGTGGAGGTTTTCACAGTATTGCCTTGAAATAGCAACTATTTGCAAATCATGCAATAGCTCTTGCAGCTGATTGTTCTCATTCTCCATTCATGCCAAAATCAAATCCCCATTAAATTTATACAACCCTATTATTCTTAATTCTTGAAAGATAGAACTTTCTGCATGCTTGTATGCAGTAACTCTTTTAGGAAATTTGTAAGTGGGAAAACAATTTGATCTTTTATAAATAATAAAATATGAGAGATAATGAAATTTGTTTATAAATAATAAGATCTTTTGAACTTAAATTGATAGAACTTGAAAGCTTTTTTTCAGAAAAAATTACTATTTATTCCAAGTAAAATTCTTTTAATGAGACAAACAATTCCGACTCCTTTATCTTTGAACATAAGAAATAGTAAAATATAATTGGATGGAAATTTTGTTTTGCATTTTTTGACAATTTCTGTTGCACACTACTCTCTACCCACCAAAAGAAAAAAAACAACTACAGAAAAGTAATAAAAGAGAAGGCAAAGAAGGAAGTAAGACATGGTAGGTGTATAATTTTTATTTTACTTCTTAAAAAAATGTGCAAGGTGTTTATATGAGATTTTAATTTAATTAAATTTTACTTTAAAATATCTAACCTTTCTGAAAAAATATATACGACAACATTTTTTTTATTAGAAACACTCGAAAGGTCTGTCTCACCCATTTTTACATTGTTCAATTATAAAGCAATTATGCGTTTAAGAAAAAAAGATGATACTTTGCACCGGCTATTGGGAGATGTGAGCTGGGGGAGGGAGTGAGTACGAGCGCAGAACTAGGTGACGCATTGAGCCGACCCGAGATGCATTGATCGGTGTCTGAAATCCAACCTCTTCCTCTCTGAACAGGAGAGGGATGCCATCTAATGGCAATATGGCGTCAATCCTTTTTTTTTTCACCTGGATTTATATATGCAATTTTGCATTAAAAGAAAATTAAAAATCCATCAAAGAGCTATCTTTGCTTGGGATTCTCGAGTTCTAAACGAACTTTTCTGGAAATCGTTGGAATTTTTAGTCTTGGTTTTGGCTATTTATTTATTTTTTTCGTGTATCACATTTACATACTCCCTATTTATTTAAATATAATCTCATTAATGGAAGGAGATGGAAATGGTTCCGCTTTAGGTGATGAGTCTCCCCAAAATTTGCAGTCTGACGGGGAAGCATCCTTTTTGAGTGGCAATCTTTTCTTGGATCACGTTGGGGAAGTTACTCTCACTCAAAATCCAGATGGGTTGTCCTGGAAATTGCTTGAGTCCTCAGAGAATGTAAGTATAATGCAATACTACAAAGCATACTCTCTCGAGTATATTTCTTTGCCAAGCCTAAATATTCTCTCTCATCCTACTCTCGTGTTTTTTAGCTTTTTTTTCCTTTTTTTTTTTGGATATGACACCGAATTTTGCTTGTAGGATTAATTGGGAAATTGGGTCTGGTAAGCTGGTATTTGTCCTCGCTCATTTGGCTGGTAGCCGATGTTCTTTTTTGGTCAAGTTTGCATTTCCATGTCTTCGATTTAGCTCTTTCTGGTTACTTTGAGGCATGGTCAACCATGATGTAGGGATACTAAAAGTTGGATGATATAGAGGGCTTTAGCTAATAAATTGTAGGCTTGATTAAATGTATGGTCAAGTACTTGGTTTGTTGTTTAGATGAGATATACCATAAACAACTTTGATTGATGATGTGGTTAAGTTGAGGTTTTTGGAGTCTCGTTGGGCTGGGTTTTAAGGAACTGTTGGACATGGATTTATAAATTGTTAATTGGAAGTTCAATGCTGAGAGGGGTTTAGAGGTAATGAAGTGTTATTTTACTATGATCTGGTTGAAATGCATATAAGCTCAGAAGAATAGAAAAAAGCATAGTTTGGTTATCAACTCTTGTCAGGAGGAACTAGATACGACCCTAAAACAGATCGACTTGAGACAGGTTTTTTGACTTAACTGTTAGAATGCATGTTTTTAATTTTCTCTCTTCCATCCATAGAATTGAATGAATCTGAACCACAATGTCTTTCCTTTGACTATGAAAGAGGATTTTGATAGTGGTTTTTACTGGAACAGGAATCACGCTGTTTGGGATTTAAACTTGTCCCAAGAGTTGCTACTGAGATCAAATTCTCAGATGTGTATGCCGTAGAGTTTTCTAATTGCAGTTTGATGCATGGATCAGATCTCTCAATTGCTGGAAAATGTTTCTTGAGTCATGGCTCTGTTGCCTCTGAGGTTTTGTTTTTATTTATGCTCTACATTTTGCCCCCTGATTTCATATTCTGAGATGTTTATACCGGCCTTTTCTTCCCTTCTTTTGCTTAAAATGATGTAGATGTTCTGCTTTACGGTGCATGGATTTCAAAGGTCACAGTCTCAGCCTTGTCTTTGGGTCCTTGCTGCATATACTTTTGGTCACAAGGATTTGCAGACATGTCAGATGTGGGTGAATCAAGTCAATGCTTCTTTAAAAATGCAAATAGGAAGACCAAAAAGTCTGCTGGTATATATCACATGTTTAATGATAAGATAAATGTAAACCTGCAGTAGAAATGGTTTCCGGCATTTACTTCTCATTGACTAGGTTTTGGTTAACCCAATGAGTGGGAAAGCAAATGGCTGTAACATCTGGGAAAAGGTGGCCCCAATTTTCTCTCGTGCAAAAGTGAAAACAAAGGTGAGTGTTTAACATTCTTAAATATCTGTTGTCCTTCGTTCTTGAGTCTTAAATATTCTGTCATGATATAATTAACATAATCAGTTTCAAAAACTTTTTTCCTATTATTAGGACTGCTATTTATTTAGCGCTTGTGCATTTATCTTGTTCCTTTTTTTTTTTTTCTGCTTCTATTAACTAGTAATAAATATTTTGAGCACAAATAGGCTTTATCTTTAGTGATGTCTTGCGACTTTGAACATGTGGTATATCTCCAATCTTGAATTTATGAAGTGTATGTTCGAAGTGTCAAGCATCTTTTCAGGTTTTAGGTTAGTCACTCTGGCAAGCATATTGTGACGAGTATGAACAGAAATATTTGCAATGACATTTTGTCATTTTCTAATTGATGTCCTACTAATCATGGATTAAGACAATTCAAAGGTGAGATTTCATATATCCAAATGTAATGAAATGTAACAAATGATTTTGTAAGTATGATTGTTCCCCATTTTGCTTCCAAAGTTTTCAGTTTGTTTGTGATGGAAATTTTGATTCCATTCAAAGTTCAAATGGCAAATCACATGTGACTAAGAAAAAAAAATTGACATATAGCATCTTCAGTTTTTTCTTTTCTTTATTTCTGATTGAAATATGAATTTTTGGTCCCAAAATAAGATGTGAGACTCTAAGTGAGATGTAATTAAGATAAACATGCTAAAATCCTTCAGTAATAGTTTCTACTATTTCTTCCATCAGGTGATTGTGACACTGAGGGCAGGACATGCACATGATATTATGGTAACTACCACAAACAAAGAGCTGAATTCCTATGATGGTGTTGTGGCTGTTGTAAGTGGTTATGGTTCCTCCATTTTGTGCATCTTTCTCATTAATATAATATCAATAGCGGGTTATCCTTCATATTCTAAATTTATGATCTTAGAAACTCTAAATGATGATTCAAAAATTACGGGGTTCTGAACTTTTTTATGTTTATTGGGTCCCATGAAATTGATGCTTTCTTCTGGCCATTACGTATTATGTATGTGTTGGATTTTATCATATATCTCGTTGACCAATTTGCTGACATCCACTTGATTTTTAGGGTGGGTGATGGGT